GGAGCCGGTCCCGGGCGCATGGCGAGCGCCGGCCCCGGGAGCGCTGCGGATTGGCCGCCCGTGCTCTGGGCATGCAAAGCTTGGAAGGGGGGATGCCGGCCCCGGGCACGCGGTGCTGGGGGAGGGAAGGCGCGCCGGCCCCAGGTGCACGGCGCTTGGGGGGACCCCACCCCCAGTCATGCAAGTGTCCCCGCCCTCTGGCGCCCAGCAGGCAAACGGCCACGCCCCCTGGCGCCCGGCAACCTCTAATGATTGAGGACCACTGGTCTAATGCTTAGCACACTCACCTTGGATGTGGGAGGCCCTGGTTCAAACCCCTGCCACCCAACACACAGACACACCAAGAGAGATAGGACTTGAACAAGGACCTCCCTAATCTCAGGAAAGGTGCTCGGTGCTATGAGAGTTTCTGGCATGGGGTTCCCACAGTGTCCCCTCGTGAAGCTGTTCCATTGTGGAACAATAATAAAGAGTGATTGGAGACCCAGGGTCTTCCACCTCCCACATGGGAGCCCTGACCACTAGACTACAGAATAATTCGCCGGAGTCAGAAATGTCTGCAGTCATTGGCTCAGAGAAAGAGAGAATGGCTCTACACTCTATTGGTCTGGGCACCCATGTGGGAGGTGGAAGACCCCAGGTCTCCAATCACGCTTTCATTATTTATCTGCAGTGGAACAGCTTTGACAGGAGAGACTGAAGAAGCCCTACACCAGTACATCCCATGGTCCAATGCTCAGAGCAGCTCTCCTGAGGGAGACGCCTATTCAAATCCTCTCTCCTCTTTTAGCAGTGGACTAAAAGTTGTAAGGTGGACAGCAGTGCTACCATCCCTTTCTCCAGACTGTTTCTGAATGGACACCAGTAGAGAGCCTCTGAGCACGCATACAGATCAAGCCCCAGAGGCAATTTAAGCAACTAAGTGTCTGTCTTCTCCTGTTTTATGAAACACTTGGATGTTCAGGTGGAGATAGGTGCCAGGACACCAGAGAGAAGGCACCAATGCGTGGGCCCAGAGACAGAAACATAGGCTCCTAGGGAACTTTTTCCCTGAAAACTTAAGCAATAAGCGAGTTTAGACACCTACAAGGTTCAGCAACAATTTTGTAGCTCATGGGGGAGCCAAAACTGGAATTTAGGCACATATGTACTTTAAGGACCACTCTCAAAGTGCCTCAAATTAGTCATCCAGTGTTGCTAGCCACTATGGAAAAAAGGTACCCGGTGAGTGCGGGAGTGTCAGAGCAAAGAATAAAGACTCCTTGATTCCAGCTCTCATCAGTAGGCAGCATTCCCATCCTATATGCTAGTTTGGACTGCAAAATGAAAGTGGACAGCTGCTTGAGATCAAAACACATAGCAGAAATGACCACATCTTAAAGAATTCCAGTATGATCAGGTCCTACAGGTACCGCATAAATCCTGGGTCCAAAAAAGTCAATGACAAAAACTCAATGACATCAGTAGGGTCAGAATTTTACCAACTGGCTAATGCTTGGGCTGGATATTGTGGTGCTCTGCTGTGAAGGTGTACTTTAGAATAATGCTCAAAGAAACTCACTAGAGCGTGGAGTAAGAGGCACCAACAAAGTGACTTGAACGAACACAAACATTAAGAATTTTTATGGGACCAGAATGAGGATCAACAGGCTTGGATTCTCTTTCCTGTTTTGCCACTGAAACACTGTGGGATCTTAGACCTGTTCTTTCCCATATCTGTACATCAGTTTCCCTAGACAAAAATTCCTGATAGCAGCAAATCCATAGTCTCCTGGGTTGGTGGCTAAGATGAGGCTTTTTCTCTTAGAACTTCACAATCCACCACTTTGGAGTATGGACATCTCATTCATTCATGTACAGTCATCACAGATGGCAACGAAATGAGAGGCTTGCTGTTCACATCCAAAAAAAGCATGCACAAGAGAGATCATACATTGGAAACAAAGCTAGCCCTGTTTCAGTTGAATATTCATTGTTAAAGTGACCCCAGAAGAGTTAACATGCAGCCTCATATAAGAAGCAGAGTCGTCATCTTAAGTACTGCTCCATGTAATGGAGGATAATCAATATATGGCTTTCCTAGGAGTATAGGGTGTAGTGCATGCTTCCCACTTTCTGAAGAATGGGGTCTTAACACAGGTTATATAGGCTTAGATTAATTATGTTTCAACATTTGTAACATGTGGCTGTGATCAGTTCTATATATCCCACATCCTACTCAATTTTATATTTTCCTTATTCATTTAAAATGCTGGGCGGTGTTCTCTAAAAACCCAAACCACTGAACCGAAACATGAGCCCAAAGGAACGTTGTGGCATTTAAAATCCAAACCTTAACTATGAAACGAGCACATTCTTCATTTAAATCTTATCCACCCCCTTAATGCCCCTCAACTCCCTATTCCCGGGGCATCTTGAAACCCAGAGCTGTAGCTCAGTTTTGCAGCTTAAGTCATTCTCCAGAAGAGCGGCTGGAAATAAAGTTTAACACATCTCAACTGCCCTGCTGCAGCTGTGCATTTCAAGGCTCCTTCTAGACAATGAGTTCTTGGGCCAGAAAGAGAGACAACCCTGGAATTCCTGCTTGCCCTAGGAAGCAGCAGCAGCCTTTCCCCTGGGGCAGTCATTCTTCCCGCACACCCTGCCGCCCAGAGGCATCTAAAGAGTAATCCCTGGGACAAGCGTGCAGGATCCTGACTGGGTCTGGAGAAACCCTCCAGGGCCACGAGCCCTCCACCCGCAGGGAGGAAAGCCCCACGCAGGAGCGCTAAGGATGCGCTCAAACCAATCCCTCCTCGCCACCCCCCTGTATTTCAAACTCCTAACAATTCACCATTCAAGGACCCGAAGTTGACCTGACAGAGCCATGGCGGGGGAGGGGGAGGGAAAGGGGAGCCAGGGCCGTGGGCGAGGAGAAGGGGCTCGCAGCGAGCTGGGGCAGGGGAGCAGCAGCCGGTACTCACACATGGAAGTGCAGACGCAGGAGGTAGTGGTGCCGCTCAGACATCAGCTAGGAGGAGGGTCCCCTTCACGCAGGCAGCAACAAAGAGGCCCACTGACAGAGCCATGGCGGGGGAGGGGGAGGGAAAGGGGAGCCAGGGCCGTGGGCGAGGAGAAGGGGCTCGCAGCGAGCTGGGGCAGGGGAGCAGCAGCCGGTACTCACACATGGAAGTGCAGACGCAGGAGGTAGTGGTGCCGCTCAGACATCAGCTAGGAGGAGGGTCCCCTTCACGCAGGCAGCAACAAAGAGGCCCACAGCAGCCCCCTCCCCCAGCAGCTGCCGCCGCT